ACTCTCATTTACGCCGCTCTTTTTGCCTGAATAGGAGCCATTATGGGAATGGCCTTTTCACCCAACAATGGGATATTGCGGGCCAGTTTGGAGAAAGGACAGACCTCTTACAAACAGTTTTTCAAGAAAACTTGAATATTAGGCTTGATTATGCTGGCCGCGTCCGCTGGTTTAGTGTTTAGTTGAACCAGATTTGTTATAAAAAACTAAATAAGAATACGTAAAGTATGAATAAAGAAAATTTAGCCAATATGAAATTGAAACCTTTTGTCAAATGAGCCGGAGGAAAGACCCAATTTTTAGAAATAATTAACTTACTTTTGCCAGAAAAATATAACACTTTTATTGAACCTTTTGCCGGTGGCGGTGCTGTCTTTTTAAGTATTCAACCTAATAAAGCAGTCATTAATGATATTAATTGCGAATTAATAATAACTTATCAAACAATAAAAAAACAACCTAAACAACTCCTAAAACTTTTAGGAGAATACGAAAAAAACCACAGCAAAGATTTTTACGAAACTTTACGAAGCCAAGAACCGAATAATTTAACTGAATTAGGAATTGCTGCCCGCTTTATTTATCTTAACAAAACTGGCTATAATGGATTATATCGGGTCAATAGTCGGGGGGGCTTTAATGTGCCGTGGGGAAAAAGAGACAAAGCAAAATTGTTTGATCGAGAAAATATTTTAGCCATTAGTGAATATTTAAATAAGAATGAAGTTGAAATTTTAAACCAAGATTATCAAAAATTATTGCCTCTAATTAAAGAGAATGATTTTTTATTTGTTGATCCGCCTTATGATGATGATGGTTTTGGTTTTTTTACTGCTTATACTGCTAATGGCTTTACGCGGGAAAATCAAAAGGAATTAGCCCAATTCTTAAAAAAATGTGAAAAACAAGGAGCAAAATGGTTATTAACTAATCATGCGACTGCTTTTATTAAAGATTTATACCAAGACTACTGACAATTTTCTTTTAAGGCTCAAAGATTTATCAACTGTCAAGGGGACAAAAGAGTAGGAGCCACCCAAGAAATATTTATTGGCAGTCACCAACTAAAACTAACCGAACAGCAAAAAAAAAAATTAGAGTTTTATCAATGATTTGACAGTATTCAAATTACTAATCTTGATTTAAGCCAACTAGTTAATTGAAAAAAAATAGAAAACAATTTACTAACTTATGAAACAAGTTTATTTATTTTAAATGGTTTAATTTGTGCTAGTAAAGAGGAATTAACTGTACGGATTGAAA